AGTGTTCCAATGTCCAAAACTATATTCTAACTGGCATTGTGCATACCATGAGGTCCTTGCCCACCAAAATGTGTTTGCTTTTAAACTTTCTGTCATAGGCTTTTCTGACATCTGACTACATTTTGCAGACCAGATTTTTTTTCTGCTTTTTTTAACTTAAAAAAAAAAAGGTAATGGAACACTTTAGAGAGCTGAAAGAGTATGAAGGACCTCATCTCCATCCCACTCTCAGTCTGAGCCTATGCCGTTGAGGTGCGCTTGCATGTGTTGAAGTGGTCCTTTGGACTTTCTCATTGCCTCCTTGTCTCCTGCTCCTTGTGAGCCTTTGGTTCCTCATCCTCAGTGGAGGAGCACATCATTGCTCTGAATGACAGGTCAGCCAAATGCTGCCCATCTCAGGAGTGAATAGGTCCTCACTGAGGTAGGAGAAGCAGAGGCCTAGCAGGGGAAGGGCTGGGGCCCCCCAAAGAGCCACATGAAGAGCAGAGATGTCAGGAGATCTATAGGCCCACCTCTAGGTCCGTGCTTGAACTGTTTTTCCTCCCAGGTGCCCCTCTCCTGCATAGCATCCACTAAGATCCTCCTGGCCTTCCGAGGATCCCCACCCCCAGTCCTGCCTCCTCTTAGCTCCCCATGCACTGGTGGCCATGCCTTTGACTAGCCTCAGCAGCCTCACTGCATCTGCACCTGTCCACCCACCAGCTATTTGAGGCCTGGGCTCCCATCGCTTCTTTGAACTTCCCACAGTGCTCAGTGTGGTGTAGACCTTCAGGAGAGAGTTGCTGCCTGACTTGTCTCGGCGGTTTCCTTAGCTGGAATCTTAATCTGCTGGAGTCATTTTCTTAGTAAAAGACAAAACCCCAGCTCCCTTGCATTTCCAGCACTGAAAGATTTTTCTGTTTTTTCAGTGACTCTTTCCTTCCCAGAATTCTTTTGTAGGAAAGGTTCTGACACCCAGTCTTCATCCATTCTTCCCTGGGAGCCCCTCACTTGGCCTGTTATAATCCATCAGTTCTACTCTGGAGAGACCAAGAGTGCTCTATCTGAAACTCCAACTTGCCCACTCTAATAAACCATACTCTCACTCACTCTGGGCCCATTCAGTCTGTGGGGACAGTCTTGGTTTCTGTCCTAATGTTGCACTGACTTCCCTGATTGTGGTATCTCATGGGTGCCCACTGAGGAGTGGAGCTTGGTGTGAAGTAGACCTGACACAGGTGCCATGGCAGGAAGAGCGACGGCCCGAGGCCAATCCCATAGTTATGGCTCGACCTCGTGTCAGGTGTGGTTCTTGTTTGGGAGCTGGGCCAAGCTGGCAGAGTTCCCAGGATGGTGCATCCTTGGCTCCCTGCCGTCACTACTTCTTTCATCCCTTTGCTGGAAGCTGCTGGATCTTTTAGCTTTTGCTTTGTGTTTACACTGTGTACCAGGCCAGGACATCTGGTGCTGATCAAGGTAGACCCAATCATGGAGTTTCTGGTGTAGCACAGTAGCTCTCAGCCCTGGCTCTAGAGCAGAAGACTGCTGGGGAGTGTACAAAATGCAGGTGTCTGGGCCATACCCCCTGGTAGTTTTTTAATAGTAGTGCTGCATTAGAGTCTAGGCATCTGAATTTTTTTTAAGCTGCAGCATTGGTGCCAACGCCAGACCCAGAAAACAGACTACCATATACTGAGCACTTTATCTGTGGCAGTATCATCTGAGCCCTTTCTACAAGTTGTCTATGTCTAGCTTAACCTTCTCAGTAATGCTGGGAATTAGATAAGGTGAGTCCTGCCTCGCTGATGAGGAAACTAAGGCACAGATAGGCTGTCGGTGGGTACACCACTCGCAAATGTAGAACTCAGATTTAAAGCAAGGCCAGGGGACTTCTAAACCAGCTCTAACCCCCTGTGCCACTGGGTGATCTCTCTTACTTCTTGGACCTATATTCCCAGCCACCTTCCTGGACACCTCCTCCTGAGTGTCCCTCAGGCACTTCAGACACAGCATACCCTAACTGAACTGGTTAGTTCTTCTCAGAACTTACTTCTGTACCCTTAATGGCTTTAGCTTGCTACCACTTAACAGCTGCTAAAAATGGAAACATTAATGGGGCTTATCTCCTCGCTTTTCGTTACCTTCTCCACCATCCCATAAAAAGTTGGTTCCCTATACCATTTGTAGATTCAGACCTCAGAATTTCCTCTCCACTTCTCCTCCATCCTCATAATTCAGTTTTTCCTTACTGGACCATCAACAGTAACCTCCTAAGTGGTGTCTGGGATTTTCATTCTCTCCCTTTTCTTATCTGATCCACATAGCACAGGCAACTGAGCTCTCTTCCTGAGGCACCAATGTTACCTAATGGCTCTGGGCTACCTGTAAAGAAAAATCTCATCCCAGCCTGGCATTCAGCGCACCATACAGCCTGGCCCCAGCCCTGGCCTCCCAGCTGACACTGCATACCCATGGCTTAGCACACTGATATTCCCCCTGTCTCCCAATATGCCGTGTTCACCCTCACCTCTTTGCTTTACTCATGCCCTTCTCTGCTGGAATCCCTTTTCTCCCACAGGTCTACCTAGCAAGCCTCTGTACGTTCCCCGGGACAACCCTTGAACATCACTACTTAAAACTCCTCTGATTCCCCTGGTTAATTGGCTGCTGGCTTCTCTGTGCTCCCTCAACACAAATATCTTCCACAGCATGTAACCCCTTTTACTAGAGTTGTTTGTTAGCCTCCAAGACACTATGAGCCTCCTGGAAGCAGGGACCTCGTTTGATTCTTGAGTCCATAGCAGTGAGCGTGACAACATAGGGCTCAGCACCAAGCAGGCTTATTGGTTATTAAGACCCTGCTTAGGCCTGTGCACTGCCTGTTTTCCTTCTGTATGGATGGATGCATAGCCAGACCAGAATCTTACGGCATTTTGGCTCTGCCATTGGCTCTAAAGAACGCTAAGTATTCACAAGCATATTCCAAAAGATAGAAAGGCAAATCAGAAAGCAGCTCTGGCCAGACAGTAAGTCAAATGCCTGAGGGCAGCGGCTCCCAGTTGCTTGTGGATTCACTAAGAACCAAATAGAGATTACCAGTTATTCATAACAATAGCACTGGTATAAAAAAATCAAACTTGATACCAGCAAACAACCAATTAAAATGTGAAGCTGCAAATTTTGATCTGGGGAAACTGGACTGTTAGATAATGATGCTCACCAATGAAAACTCAGAAAGGAGGAAGCTGTTATCAGGAAATTTAATATAGACCAAAAAATAGTCAGTGAGCCAAATCCTCGCTGTTATATAGGAAAGAATGGATTCAATGAAAGTAAGTTCAGTAAAATGAAAATATAAAATCAGGAACAATGTCAGTGTTTAGTGTAGAAAATTAATCAAAGAATTCATGTGGCCTAATGGTGTTTCCTCAGACAAATTTTTGGTCTATAAATATTCCTAATGTTGGCATAATTCTGAACACAGAGTCCACATGTTGTTGGTATCAAAATGTCCTGTCCATATGTGTGCGTGGTTGCTGCTTTCAAATAACTGTCCCCACCATAGAGTGTTAGAGCTGAGAGAACCCCCAGCCCAACCCTGATACCTATCATCTTTCCTACAGGGGGCGGTGCCCAAAGGAAATGCCACTAAAGAATTCATCGAGAGTTTACAGTTGAAGCCCGGGCAGGTGGTGTACAAGTGTCCCAAATGCTGCAGCATCAAGCCCGACCGAGCCCACCACTGCAGGTATACTCACGGGGGCTCACCTCCTCTCTACTCCTGCCTCCCTCCATCCCCACCAACATGTGCCTCCTAGAGTAGCACTTCCCCAACAGAGGCCAAGTCAACATCAGGATTCCACATGTCCCCTGCCCTGGGCACAGAGTGATCATTGTGAGTCTCCTTCCTGGTCCCTGTGAGCCCTCTAGATTGGAAAGAGCTTTTGGTTTGGGCTCAGGACACCTGTCCCAGTTCTTGGCTCTGCCACACCTGACATAGGACCTGGACAGGGCCTTTGTTTTGATATATGTAAAATTGAGGGGATTCCTGCTTTTCCTGCCTCACAGCTTTATTACAAAGGTACCATGAGAAAAAGCTTTAGAAAATTATTTTGCGTCCCTCATGAAAACAAGCCCTTGACCTTGTCTAACTACCAGGCCAACAAAGCCAAGTATGATGAGCTGTCCTATTTCTGACCCTGACTTTGGATAGGGCCCTTCCACCAGAAGGCTGGATAATTAAGTGATTCTGCATGGACCGCAGCATGCACTAAAATAACTTAAATATTTACAAAAAGAAAAGAAAAAAAAAAGAAAATTATTCTGTGAATGTCTAGAACTTGAAGTGAAGGGATTGCCCTTGAATGAAAGCTTTCTTTTAAAACTTCTAAAATTCAACCAAAAAAGAAAGTCATTTCCCCATCTTATCTGTGGTGAGTCTTCTCTGTTTTCAGGTTTCTTCTTTATTGTTTTAAGTTTTTCTGATGAGAAGACATATAAGCTAAAAGTGGTGCTTTATTGGCTGGGCACAGTGTCTCACATCTGTAATCCCAGCACTTTGGGAGGCCAAGGCAGGAGGATTGCTGGAGCCTACATGTTCAAGACTGGGCAACAATGCGAGACTCTTGTCTCTAAAAAAAAATTTAATAATTAGCTGGCTATGGTGGCACACGCATACAGTCCCAGCTGCTTGGGAGGCTAAGGGCAGAGGATCACTTGGGCCCAGGAGTCTGAGGCTGCAGTGAGCCAAGATTGCACCACTGCACTCCAGCCTGGGCCACAAAGTGAGACCTTGTCTCTCAAATAAATTTTATTTATTTATTTTGAGACTAGGTCTCACTCTGTCACACAAGGTCATAGCTCACTGCAGCCTCAGACTCCTGGGCTCAAGCAATCCTCCCACCTCAGCCTCCAGAGCAGCTGGGACTACAGGCGTGTACCACCACACCTGGCTAATTTTCTTATTTTTTGTAGAGACAGGGTCTCACTTTGTTGCCCAGGCTGGTTTCAAACTCCTGGGCTCAAGTGATCCTTCTGCCTCAGCCTCCCAAAGTGTTGGGATTATAGGTGTGAGCCACCTTGGCTGGCATATAGGGAAACTTCAAATGCTAAATTACAGAAATACAAAAATATCACTTGCTCCCCTTTTCAGTCTAGTGTATATGTGTGGGTAGGGAGGGGTTATAGAGGAATGAATCTGCTCCAGGTGTCGGACATCATTTTTGTCAGGCTGAGCCTGTGGAGACATTTGGGTGTATGAGAGATCTGAACAGCGATTTCTGCCTGGCCTCGCTGCCTGTCTCAGAGGAGAGTGGCCAGTCTCCAGCTCTCAGATTCCAGAGTCAGCTCCCCAGTACCTGCATGCTGTGCCCGCAGCACCTCAGCCTGCCCTGCCTCAGTGGCAGTCATCTTTTTTCGTCTTCCTAGTCACCCCTGGAAATCAGGTTTGCTACAGATGAAGAAATTAGGGTTCAAAGGGGTTAAGTGAATGCTCCAAGGTCACACAGCAGTGAGTACTAGAGACAGGTTTCGGTCCCGGTAGTTCTGCCTTTAAGTCTAGAGAGGGCTCTTTCCACAGGAACTCCAGTTCGGGAATGACAAGAGTAACTTTATGTAGTTGTATGCATGTTTTTCAGTGTGAAAGAGAGAGAGCTGCAGACCTCCCCAACCAGGTGCTGCCTGCTTGAGGGTGAGGGCTGAGGAGCCTGGGCGGGGGCCTGCGGTGATTGCTAGCTCCTGCGGGGTTTCTGTCTGTCGGTCAGCTTGCTTCTGAGATCTAATGCAAGGTTTGCCTCCTGTGCCTGAAATGCAGGTGTCAGTCTGGTCTTTTCTTGCCACTGTTGGGCTCAGGACCCAGCTGTTTTCTAACTGTCACTCAGATTTTTTTTTAAAAAAAAGCTTGCTTATGTGGTTCCTCAAGATAGATCAGTGTGGTGGAACAGACTCTGGCCTTAAAGTGGGAGTGGTTGGTGTTGGAAGTCCAGCTCTGTCACTTGCCACACTGTGGACCTTCGGCCCGGTGCTGCATCTTTCTGAGCCTCAGCTTTCTCCTCTGTAAAAAGGGTTGTTTCTTCGTAGTTTGTTGTGAGGATTAAGTATGAGCAACTGTGTGAGTCATCTAGCTCAACAAGTATAAGCTATTGCTAACAGAAGAATGTGTATGGAGTTAGGAATGTGCTGGGTTTATAAAGCCTGCGCCAGAACAGGGAGGTGTTAACTTTGTATTATAGAAGAGAACTTTTGGGTGGCCACAGTGATTCTTTTCTCTCCCTGAGCCCTCAGCTGCCTCCACCACCTGGCATTTTCCTCACTGCCTCCTCCTTGCCTCTCTCCCCAGGATGATCCAAGGGAGGTATTCTTGTCTACTAGTAAACAAATCAGCTCGGGCAAAACAAGAGCTGCTGATTCAGATGAACTCAAGTGAGGATGCCTGTGAGTTGCCTGTTCTTGCCTCAAAATGTATGCTGACAACTGCTCCTTTGTGATGGCACATGGTGGCTCAGGCCATCTGGGGACCCACAATTTTGGATAAGCAGAATTCCCCATGACACCAGACAGACTGGGTTTGTTTACAGCCTTTGAGCCCAGAGGCTGCCTGCCTAGTTAGAGAAAGTTGATGTCGACCATGCCCACTCAGGTGAAGGTGCATGTGTACACATGTTTGCGCCCAGCATTTTAGAATTTGAGACTGTCTCCATTCCCTTGTCTCTAGTAGATCCCACAGATACACCCAGACCTTGGCCCTGTAGGTGTTCCTTCCAGCCCTATGGTATGTGCGGGTGGGGGCTGTCTTTCCTTCCTAGAAGAAGCACTCTGAAACCCCATGTTCTTTCATCCTGGTGTCAGATCCTGTTCATAGGGATCATGGAAGCATGTGGAAACTCTGTGGGAGGAGCCATTTATGCTAATGTGGATTGACATTTGGCTTAAGCTTTCAGAGCTTGTCCAACCCATGGCCTGTGGGCCACATGCAGCCCAGGATGGCTTTGAATGTGGCCCAACACAAATATGTAAACTTTCTTAAAACATTATGAGATTTATGCACAAATGGTTTTTGTAGCTCATCAGCTATCTTTAGTGTTATTGTTTCTATACACGGCCCAAGAAAATTCTTTTTCTTCCAGTGTGACCCCGAGAAGCCAAAAGGTTGGACACCCTTGCTAGGTTCTTCTGCATGAGAAGGGAGAGACCTCTGACTTCGGCAGCTCCCTGCCTCCACACCGCAGACACACACACTGAGACTGAGACAGTCCTGGGCTGCTTAGAGCCCCTGACAGATTCTTGTTGTTTTGTCTTTCCCATGGTTATGATTACTGAGAAAATTGATACAGCACTTGTTGGTAAAGCATTTTGCATACATTTTTGGTGCTCACAATGATTCTGAGAGATCAGAGTAATTCTGCTGAGGTTGATTGAGAACCTAAGTTTCTTTGCCCAGAGCCCATAGTGAGGACCTACTCTCAGATCCCCCGTTCTTTCCACTCCACGGCACTCTTTCCCAAAATCATTTCTGAGCCGGAGCCAGGATTTGGTATAGTTGTCTTTTTTGCTTATAATTTTAGTCATAGCCAATGAGGGGTAAAATGAAAACCTGTACATGACACCATGGCTCACTTAATACCTTCCTGCTGTTTTCTTTTTATTTTCCCTACGTGAGCATCCCAGTCTGATGTAGTTGAACTCATTTCCCAGGCCTGCTCTTTCCTGTCTGCGGTGTCAGAGACTTCAGTCAGCTGACCATTGCTAAAGGGGGCCCTGGGCTTGGCTCTGAGCTTATAAAAGTGGATTAGACCTGGCCCTGGCTCCAGGAGCCTCCCACCCAAGCAGGGCAAGCACACTTCTCCACCATGATACAGTTTGGTAAGTGCGGGTATAGGGAGAGACAGAATGCCCATGGGACATGGCTGTGTTTCCATGCTGAACCATCACCCAGGATAAGCAAGAGAGCCTCACCCAGCTCCTTTGGGGATGAGTACCAAGCAAGGGCCCTCATATCTTCCTGGAGAGCAAACACATAAACCTCCTCAGAGAAACTGAGTGCATATGAACCAGTGAGCTTGGTGGATTCTACCAAGGTTTGGGGCCTGAAAAAATGGTAGGAAATGGAGGAAGGGGAGAAGGGAAGCACCTGCCTTCTACAGTGACGACATAGAAACCTAGAAGGGGCCTGGGAAACCTGGAAGGCCAGGACACAAATACCTCCATTTAGGGCATTTGGCCTTTTCGGTGACTGTTATTGCACCCTTGGTGCCTGTGCCATGGGTGCTCACCAGCTTACAGCATCTCGTCCACGAGACTCTGGATTTAGTGCTAGAAAGGAATACCAGGAGAGGGCTGTGGACAAGAAGGACCCTCAGAGGATAGGGTGGATTTTGCCAAGTGGAAAGAATGAAGAAACTCAGGCATTGAGGCCATCCACAGCCAAAACGGGGAAGATGGCTGAGTGAGTGTGCAGAAGAGGCTCTTAGTCTGTGAACTGTGAGCCTTCCTTGGCCCTGTGTTTCAGCCGCCCTGCTATGCCTGGGGAGGGAACACTGCTGAGCCCCCTGCCCGTGTGCATGCAGTGGGGGCTGGGAATAGGGCTGCCTCTGAGGTGATTGATTCTCTGTGGGGTGTCAGGAGTTGTCGGGGGAGGCCCACATTTTTTCTTCTTCCTCATGACAGATGGTGCCTGAGGCGAAACAGCAGGGCAGGGTGTGGCATGTCCTTCACTGCCCTTCTCCAGCACCTGCCTCCGGGCCCTGTCCT